TTCACAATTGTTTGAGAATAAGAGCTTCATTGAAGAGTTTGTAGTCCTGAAATCCCAGGCCCCCCTTGACTTTTGGTATAGTGATATTCATCCACTTCTTCCAATGCAACCCTCTGTCCTGTCCCTTGCCTTTGCTCCACCAGAGTGCAGCTGTCACTCTACTAAGTTCATCACATGTACCAATTGACAATTTGAAACAAGACATTGTGAACACTGGTAGCATTAATTACAGCTTTAATTAGCACTTCTTTACCAGCCGTGGATTGGTACTTGTTTTTCCAACTTGATATCCTTTCTTTAACTGCTTGCACCACAAAATCAAAAGTCTCTTTCTTGGACTTCCCAATGCCAAGTGGAAGTCTAAGATATCTAGTTGAGGAGTGAGCTTGAATTCCAGCCATCATTGCACATATTTTGTTCTTCACTTAGTGTGGAGTGTTTTTGCTAAAGAAAGCTGAAGACTTAGCTAAATTAAATGTCTGTCCTGAAAAACTCTGATAAGTTGTCAGCAGCTGCAAAAGTCCCCTCACTTGATCAGTTTCTGCCTTACAAAACACCAATGAGTCATCTGCAAACAGCAGATGTGTGAGAGTAGGGCCCCCCTTGACCAGCCTCAGCCCTTTGGACCCACCACAAGCAGCAGCTCCTTTTATAAGTGAAGACAACACTTCAGACATAATAAGGAAAAGGTAGGGTGATATAGGATCACCCTGCCTTAAACTTCATGATGATTTGAGATATCCAGAGGGATGGCCATTCACTATAAATGAGAAGGTTGGAGAGGAAACACATGCCATCACCCATTTAACAAGCTGCCCATCAAACCCCATTTTCAGCATAGTTTAGCTCACACTCCCCCATTCCACTCTGTCATATGCTTTGAGCATATCCAACTTGAGTGCCATAAAACAGTTGCCCCCTGATTTGTGTCTATTTAAATAATGAAAACACTCCTAAGCAATCTATCATTATAACCATTTAACACTTTTAGCAAGTTTTTCCCGCCAAATACATTTAATGTCTTCTAAAAATAGAGCAACATTAAATGTTGCCCTTAAATTATGGCAGTTGTTAATTTAGTTTGGAGAAAATCGTGGCAACTAAAACAAACAACATTAATTACGGCTGATTTAATATTTAAATGGTAAACAAATATTACTTTTTTATAACTGATTTAAATTTACGTCTGTTTAAAAGTAAAAAACTATTTTTGTAATTTCAACAAATTTGTACTCTTTAATGTACGGCTGATTTAAAATTAAGAATTTACTTTTGTATTTTCACAAAAAATCATATAAAGAAGTATGGCTGGAATAATAATAAAAAATTAATTTGTTAAACCATATTTTGCACTCATAGATACGAATTCTCATCAAATTCAAGATTTAAAATTGTGATGAATGTATATATATGTGGACTGATTGAAGATATATGATTCCTTAAATTAAGAAATTTTTTTCGATAAAAAAAATAATATAAACTTTAAATATAGATTTTATTAGTGGTATATACCATAGAATATTGTTACATTTAAAATTCCTATGAAGAAGAATTCTATTAATTTTCAAATTCAACATCTCATAAAAATAATATAATACACATTTACATTCTATGAAACAATATTTAAAACCCACCGTTCAACATGCATAAAATGTAAAATTACCTAACATGAATAATTTTAACTTTCTAAAATCAGTACACAATTTGCTCGGTATGTACTAATAGTCTAATAGTTAAGATTTAATATTTGCTATGACATCTATTGGTTGGAAAGAATTCCATTTTGTATGGAATTCGAAATGAAAAAACATATTCTGAAAATCAAATTTGGTTTAGAGATCGATTTCTTAATGGCCTTAAATTATGCAAATATATTGTTTCAGTTTTTAGGATTCTTTTTTTATGATCTCAGTCTTTGCATTATATAAAATCTATACTTATATAAAAAGTCATCCTATTTACTAGAAATAGTAGGCAGAAAAGTCAAAGGTAATTAATGCTTGCTGGAAATAGAATGATATTAATTACAGATTTGTTTTGGTATTTATAGGCTTCACATTAAAGATTTGTTATGGGATAAAAATCAGAACTGATTTTTTTACCTTCAAAGGTAAGTATAGATTTGTTTTATCCCATAACATCGGTTTAGTTAAGAAAATCCCATCAAATCAGTTTTATATGTCAAGCCTATGAATAAAGATTTAATCGGTCAAAATTAAATCCTTATTTTACGTCACCCATAAATAAAGTAGATGTCAAGCCTAAATTGAAGGGTTTAGTTGTCTATATAGTTATTGATTTACGTAAATACATCTAATGTTTAAAGTTTGTGTAGATTGAAAACAAAATTGTTACATCTACCACGTGAAATTTCTACAAGGGTTGAGGTTTAAATGAAGAAATCTAATAAACCCCTTTATCCATTCAAGTTGCAAAACCAAGATTTTGATAGGTTGGACTTTTGACCAAGCCAACTGCACATATAACTTGTACTACGTACTTCTATGTTAAGTAGACATTTTTACTAGTGTGTTGTTGTCCCTATTTGTAATTGAATTTTAAATATTAATAACACATATCTCAAGACAATACTCCATTAAATGCCTTCCCCAAAGGTGGACCCAATCTTTGACCTAACTCATTTCAATAGTCCAGATTTTCAAATTTCCTTTTTATATTATCTCCAACTGTCAGCGGATATTCAAATTGCTATAACAAAAATTCATCTTCAAACTCTACGTTACGTCGGCGAAAAATTGCATCCTCAAACTGTTGGCGTAAAACAAAAAAAAAACACATTTAAATCACGAATTCTTATATTCATTTTCCAAAATAAAAAATAATATTTTTTATCAACTTTATAAAATTTCAGATTTAGCCCAAGGGTGAAATTAAAATATCATCAAAAATTTTAAAATTGCCAATAAGTCCTTACACATTATCAAATTCTCAAAAAAATAAGCCAATCCCTAAATTGATTTCAAGTCGTTTTTCCAGCGAGTGGGCCTTCCCCAATGTTTCTCGCGGTCAAACAATTGTCGTCTTTTGGTCGTTGTGTGTGTTTGTGTGTTTTTCGGCGAGAGTGTCGTCCGCCGTTCGGGCGTGAGTTTTTCGGTGAAGCTTCAATTTTTTTCAGGACGTCGACGACGTGCTCCGATCGTACGGCATCGTATGAAGCGGCCGCGATCGTTGGTGGCGGGCTTCTCCGAAGGTCGCGGCGGCTCTGTGCGGGGGTGATCGGAAGTACGAGCGGCGTGAGTTTTCCGATCGAAGCTCCACTTTTTTCTGGACGTCGGTGTCGGGATCCGACAGTACATCAACGTATGCGGCGGCTGCGAGCGTCGGCGGCGCGACGCTAGGGTGGCCAACCGAAGGAATAAGAAGGCACGGCCAGACGGAAGGGAATATGGTGGGGCGGACGGCTTTCCGGCGTGACATCGTCGACGTAAGACTTGACGGCGGCGGGGACGAAAGGTTGGACTGTAGGACAACGGCGGCGCCGCCGCCCGAGGAGGAGGACGGTCAGTATACGGGCGACTGTGTGTGTCTGTGGTGAAGAAGTACATGTAAATGAAAAGAGAGAGAAGTGACGGGGAGAGAGATAAGAGGGGTGGGTGGGGTTGTCGGGTTGTGGGGTTAGGTTGGAGATATGTTAATGTGGAGTGGGGTCACCTATTTAATTGTAGTGTGCAAATTACTTTAATGTCCTTAATGAAGGTATATTTTGGTATTTTTATAAGGCGTTGGATTATGAGATCTAATGGCTACGATGTATTATTATTTCTTTCATTAAGCATCATTCTCACCGGAGCGCGACCCTATATATATATAACCAGCTTTACTTGAAATATAATGTTTGTATTTACTTGAAATAGAAACTAAAATCCCACCTAAAAATTTTAAAATTACTAAGCTTGATAATCTTTTTTAAAAATTTTCAAAAAATCCCGTCAATGGAGCTTTAATTTTGAATTTCAAAATATTTTGATTTTACTTTAAAATAATTTTCATTTATTATGAAAATATATTTATCTATTAACTAGTGAGAATCCCGTACGATGCACAGAGATTTGTTATCTTAGAACAGTTTTTTAAAACTTCATTTTATCTATATATTAGTACCCGTTTATATTAATAAATAATATTTTAACATATATATTTATTTTTTAATACAAAAAAATAATAATTTTACATATTTTGGTTTGTCATAATACTCAAATATTATTTTATTCAAGAATTTATTGTAGTATAATGTCAGTATTATTTATACCACTTATAGAAGTAATACTCTTCTTTATATAATGATAAGTATTTAATTTAAATTAATAGTATTATTTATTGACGTAATTAGTTTAAAAATATATAAGCAAATTTAATGTTTGTTAGGAATGTGTTTATATGTAAGTTAAGATTTTTGTAATGTATCAAAAAAAATTACTTATGATATTTTCATATAAATATTTGAATGAATTTGAAATTCAAGATCTATGTCTGCACCCTCTTCTCCTTTTCTCCAGCAGCCCTTCTTTATTANATAAAAAGCACCTATATATTATAGACGGCTAGGTTATAGATTTGTTTCTAATTTGTTACTAAGATTTTCTTTTTTTTTCACAAAACAGACGATTCATCATAATTCTCAGTCACAATACCCACAAACACATCAAAATCAAATGACAGCAGCAGCATAATAAATAGAGACATAAATCCAAAAATCCATCATCACAATCACAAAGATAATACCTAAAAACCAAACATTATTCTACTAAAATAAATCTGTTGCTTAAAGCTCTACTTGATAGTCACCTTAATCATGGCCCCAACCTCGCTCTTCTTCTTCTTGGGAATCTCCAGCTCGAGCACCCCAACTTCCCCCATCACAGCCCTGATTTCCTCGCAGCTCAACGATGTGGGACTTTATAGACCTGGGAGTCGTTAATTTGTTGGCCTTGTAAGATCAACTTGATAGCCAACGAAGTGACATAATAATTCTCGCTCCCTCAAGTAACTCTTGGAGTTTGTTTGTGTTGTCTATATATCATGTTACGCTTGTTGAAAACTTGATGCAATACAAGTAGAAATGTGTAATACGCCGTGAACCCATCGGGAAAACGGGAATTCACCAGCTTCTTAATGTCCACGGCTTCGACGACATTCGAGTCGACGACCTCAACGGCGGAGGAGGCGACATCGGAGGCGACCTTGGCGGCAGAGGAGGCGACGATTAGGGCGGCGAATTTGGGGGCTTCGGCGGAGCGAAAGAGATGGAATGAAAGGGTTCGGGCGAGATAGGGTAAGAGAATGAGAAAGAATAAAAGGACGAGGACGATATAATTTTTTCCAAAAAATTTCAAAATACATTTAGGTAGGTTTTTTTTTAAAATTTGAAATTTAAAATTTTAAAAATGATTTATGGTAGCATTAAATGTTGCTTAATTTTTTTTATTAAAAAAATTAAAAAACATACTAAAAATGGAATGGAATTAATAATTCCATATTTTTTTACTTACTATTTTTATTAAATGGTAATTCTTATTATATATATATAGATTTCAATATAAATAAAGATCTCCCCTTAATATATATCTCATCTGCAACGTTCTATATTCATAATATCACTTAACCGCAACATTTCATATATGAAATTAAAAACAATTATTCTCATTAATTTTGATCCTTAATTTTTATCCTAAAGATTTTTATTTTCAATTTTCAACACACAAAAATGAATTTAAATCGTATTATAGGATAGAGTGTCGCCTGGTGGGCCGGTTATCCTCGACACCATTAATTAGTATTTATACTAATTATATTAATGATCCTTCATAATTTTCTCTAAGGGAAAATTACACTTTGCCTACCGAACTATCCGCGTTTTTACACTTTGCCCACTCAACTTTTTCCGGTGACACTTTACCCCTTGAACTTCACATATTCTTGCATTTAACGACTTCCGACACCGGAGATGCAAAATCAAGGGCAAAATCGTCATTTACACCTTAGGAGACACCTCAAATTAGTCTTCACGAGTACACTTTGCCTACTGAACTATTCGCGTTTTTACACTTTGCCCTTGATTTTGCATCTCCGGTGGCCGTAAGTCGTTAAGTGCAAGAAAATGTGAAGTTCAAGGGGTAAAATGTCACCGGAAAAAGTTGAGTGGGCAAAGTGTAAAAACGCGGATAGTTCAGTAGGCAAAGTGTAATTTTCCCAATCTCTAATGTGCTACTAATACCCACCAAACTAGTAATCAACCTGTGCATTTGCACAGAAAAGAATACTTTAAAAAGATAACAATATCAAAAAAAAAAATCATAATTTAATTCATGAAAAAATATGAATTAAAAAAATAATTCTCAAAATTGATTTTGATCAAGTAATTGCTATAGAAGAGCCGTTACAACCATTTTCTTTATGCTAATACATCCGACCATTTTCATGAGTGGGTGTGACTTAAAATTTGAGTACAATTTTTTAACTCCCTTGATTGGTTTATGCTCATAATTTATGGTATTCAAGCAAGTTATTTTGTAATTTAAAAATAAAATTGAATGTTGAAAATTTTGGAGGGATAATAAAATTTAATGTATGATAATATAATTAAATTCTATGTTTCTCCTCTTTATATATATATATAGATTAAGTCCCTGATCTAATGTTATGGGTGTTTGAATAAAACTTTTCAAGTAGAAAGAAATAAGTNATCTATTTTAGTTGCTTCTAGTGAAAGACACATGATCTAAATCCGACTCAAGTATCAATCAAGCAATAGATCATAAGCATAGAATAATAGGTGGCCAATCCATCAACTACACATAACAATCATAAAAATATGCACACGAAACATTGATGCAGAAAATATATGAACTGGAATAAAAACTAATTCGATCTCACAGTAGTAGGTCTGGGTTTCGATCGTCTTCAACCAAGACAAAGATAAATTAGCCGCGCAGGGCTATCATAAAATAATCCAAAAGAAAAGAAAAATAATGAAGAAAAGAAGAAGAGAGAGCCGCTGATGTTGTGCTCTGTTCTTGCGTGTCTGCTCCAAGCAGATCCCTAGTAGATCCGTCCTCTCTGTTCCTTGCGGCTGTCACGTTATATACTGTTCATGGGCTTTAGTTAATAGACAGGATCCAGAATATACCAACATGGCCATGTTACATTTGAACTGTAATTCCGACACTGTCATGTTAGTTATAGATGTTTTCTCTTCCCAGGCACATCGAACTCTCTTTTTTTTGCCAAAACGATAGAGGATATTATATAACAAAAGCGCACAAATGTGCAAATACAAGCAGCCCAAGGCTGAAAAGTGGGAGGACAGGTCATGAGACCGCCTAGAAACCCGGCTAGCAAAAGCTAGAACAGAAACTCAAAACTAAAACAACTAGACACGACCCCCAAGGGGTAATACAACAATACAACTCAAACAACACAACAACAACACACGACCCCCACAGGGTAATCTCCGAGTGTCGGACCCCCACAGGGTAATAAATTTGACACCCGGATGCACCGAGGCAACCGCCCAAACCTAAAACACAAACACATATACACCGAGGCCAACGGCCCAAACCAAAACACAAATACAAACACAAGAACAGAAACAGACACAAATCATAATAAAAAAAACCTATACTACTAACTAATAAGGCCCTTCCCCAGAGAAAAGCTAAAACCGACCCAAAGCACCAACGAAAAAGACTAACATCCTACAACTTGACCCAAAATCCGGAACGCCGCTCCCGCCACTGCCTAAAGCCTAGCAAGGAACAAGTGCCGAACCTCAAACCAAGCCAGAATGAAGCCGACCCAAAGCCAGAGGAATATCAACCCGTCCACATGCCAGCAACCCAAGACCCGACCAACACCACTGGCCTAGGTTCGGGCGTACCGGCATCCCAAAACCGCAACACCAGCGGAGAGGGGGACAGAGGACAAGAATCGAAACCCCTCAGCCCCCGGCCGCCGCAACTCAGACGAGCCGAGCCGCCAGGGCCGCACCCAAAACCCGAACCACGCACCTCCTGCAGCAATCAGACCCAAACCGGAGGAAAAGCCGTCGAACCCGCCATCGACCACCATCCCAAGACAGAGCCGATAGTAGAAAGCTGGAAAATCACCGTCGGGGCCGAGAAACGTACCCAAATCGAAAGTGGAGCCATGGAACCCGTCGTCTGAAGCTGAACATAGACGGAATCGACAAAGAGATTTCGAGAACCTACCTGCGACGGCGGCGATCTCCAGTAGAACAGCCCCGGCCGACGAAACTGAAATCATCTCCGGAGGGAGAGAACCGTGAAGGAAACGCACAAATCAGGCCATGGGAGTGCTGCTACGGGTCATCCACCGGCCGAAGGCCGGCTGTTCGCCGGGGAAGGCAAGGTATTGACAGCGGCGAGAGAAAGATTTGGGGGAGAAGGGTTATAGAGAGAGAAAGGGGAGAATTGATAAAATTGAACATTCAAAACACCATATTCAGACAGGATGACAAGATAAAGCTATCAAAATTCCAGAAAGGCTTGTCTACTAAATCCCCAATTTGTGACTGTACTTTAAGGCAACAATTGAAAAATTAGTGAGATCCCAATGTAACGGGTTCTTCCTTCGAGGACACAATTTGATTTGAAGAAGATAGGCCATTCTTGGTTGAAATTTTTTCCCACTGTAGGTTTTCCTAGCTATCTCCATATGCATGTAGGTTTTGATCCTCGAGGTTCGACATTAGCTCAATCTGTTGATCTTTGTGTTTAACCTCCATTTGGTTTTTGCTTACCTTGCAACCGAATATCAAAAAGAAGAATATTAATTATTTAAACACCACAAAAAAAAAAAGCAAATACTTACTTGTAGTTTTTTTCTAACTCCGTGTGTTTTATTCTGTTTTTGCATGTTCCGTGAAACCTTTTCGGGCTGCTCGAAAGATGTAAGACCAGAACTATTCCATTTGGAACCCTACATGTATATCGCACTTGAAGCTATTAAAAGGATCATGGATAATTAATCATAATACGCTAAAAGAACATGTATAATTATTGTTAACCTTTCTTGGAAGTGTTTGTATTTCTTCATTGAGCGGGGGAATATCCAAGCCTGAACTTATGTCCCGCCTTTCTTTTACCAGTGGAAAACCTCTAGCATTGTGACCTTTTTTGCGGCATACTGAACATTTCAAAACCATTCCTTTTCTAGATAATTTAGTAGAATTTTTCTGACCCTTTTCATTCTCTATACCTTTGCTCTCATTTGGATCTTTTCTTCTAGTATTTTTCTTAGGTCTCCCAGGTAACTTGGCATAAACAGGAGGTAGTAGCGGTTCACAATCAACTTGAGGTCACATGTCACAATCATTCAATGCCTCCATGAAGTTACTATATATCCTCATGAACGTACTTTTATGGTAGTACTTGTCCACATAATCTTCAGGTTTATGGCCTAGATAATACATCCCAGATATAGCATGAGCACAAGGTATACCTGTAAGATCCCATTTTCTGCAAGCACAAGTTTTTTCTCCCAAATGAACCTTGAAGCTTTTCCCGTAGCTATTCTCAATCTCAAATTGGTTGTGGCCATTCCAATGGGCAATAAATTCCATTGCATGTTGCTTAGTTTCCTCCAAGTATTTTTGAACTTTAGAGCACAAATCACCTCTATACTTCTCCATCTCTTCTCTAACAGCCCCGATTCTTTTCATTAGCATCAATCTTATAGTCTCAAGCATGGATATAATAGGCCTATTTCTTGCTGTTAAAATCATAGAGTTGAAGGTTTCAGACAAGTTATTGAGCAACATGTCTGATTTAGGAATACAACTGAAATGGGACTTAGACCACTGTTGTGGGGGCCTCTTTGCCAGCCATTCAAAAGCTTCCACATCTCTGGATTTCAGCTCATTCATAGCAGCACTGAAATCTGCAATTTTTGTGGCCCTTGCAGCTTTCCACAATATCTGCTTTAAGGCTAGCCCTTTGTGTGAAGACTTGAAGTTGCTGTATAAATGTTGGACACAAAACCTGTGTTCACAATTAGGTAGCAACTGCTCAACAGAATCTACTAATCCCTTTTGTTTATCTGACATTATTGTCCAAGAATAACTATTCTCAATGTTCAAATCGGCAACTAGCAACTCTAAAAACCACAACCAAGATTTTTTCTTTTCTTTCTCAACGACTGCATATGCAAATGGATACATACAATTATTTGCATCAACACCTACAGCAGTTAGCAAAATTCCACCTACCTGGGTTTTAAGATGACACCCATCCAAGCATATCACGGGCCTACAACCCCCAAGAAACCCTTTTTTTAAAGCCCCCCAACATATATACATTCTTTTAAATTGTGGTCGTCCTTCCACCAATTTCGATTTTATCTTCACTGTGGTGCCTGGATTGGAGTTTTTAATCTCTTCGGCATATGACCACAACATGCCAAATTGCTCTACATCAGTCCCTAGACATGAGTCCTTCACAATCTTTTTTGCCTTATACATCTGCCATTTATTAAACACAATTTTAAGCTCTTTTTGCATGATAAAAAGCATTGAATCAATAGGCCACTTGGGATCAGTTGCTATTTTGTCCCTGTAGTAGTTAGCTATCCACTTAGGTGTTGCCTGAGCGACTTTCTGAGCCCTAGGACACTTGTGCTTGCCAATGTAGGTCTTTACTTGAAGGGTGTCTTCATCACTGACCCTTGATGCATAGATTACCCAGGAACACGTGTCATGTTTACATTTGGCTTGGATTTTGAACTTTCTATTTAATGTGAAAGTTATATCCCTGCCATCCCTAATAGAATGTGCTCTTACACTCTCCTTAAAAGACTCAGCAGTAGGAAAACATTGTCCCAGTTTAAATTGCTCATCAACTTGTAACTTGCTTTTAATAGTTTCAACTTGGTGGACCATTACACTACCACTGCAAATTGATTTATTTTTAGAGCCTTTCATTTCTAAACCTCCCCATTCAACTTCAGCATCTATGTTTTTTTCATAAAGAATATCATCATTTTCAGAAAACTCCCAATCGCTCTCTACAAAAGCCTCTGACTTGGAAGAATCTGTCCCAAGTGATTGGCCGCTGTCGGTGTCACCATCACTACCGTTTTCACCCAAGTCAGATTCTCCCATAAATTCCATTCCCTCATCAACACTAGGCAAGTAATCATTGCGCGGTTCAGATGCAATGGTGCTCAATGTACTGTTTTGATGCTCGATATAAATGCCTACCACCCTATTCTCATCCAAAAAGTTAACCAAATTCAAAGCATCAGAATCATTTTGAATCTCAAACAAAGAACTGCAATTATCTATCCCATTTGTACTCACGTGAAACTTCTTGCATTCCTTTAAACCCAAATCCCGAGTAATATTAATGATTTCCAAAAATGACATTTCATCCGGGTCACAAAAATCAATATGACTCACTCTCATGTTTTCCCCAACATAATACCTGGTGCCATATTTTACGAATTTTCCAGAATGGTACATCCGTATGGTGAAAAATTGTGACCCAGAACCTGATGGGGTGAGGGAAAAAAAAAAACTTGTTTTAATTCATTTGCTTAAATGCTACTTCAATAAAATATGTGCAATAATACCAAAATTATATTTGAATTAGTTCCACCAACCCTACAATGCGCACAAAGAATATTAATTCATATCATAAAGCAATAAAAACATTCTCATCTTTTTCATCTTTAAGAATATTAATTCATATCCTAAAGCAACAAAAACATACTCATCTTTTTCTTAAGAATGAAGGATAGTGATTGAAAGAAAAAAAATTATGAACTTACTGTAATTAGGGCATAAGAATTCAAGAGGATTTTCGTTGACATTGTGGCGGATGATCCAACCCATTGTTGGATATTATTGAAATTCCACCTTCAAATCTTCAATTTAATCAAAACTGCAGGGATATTGATTTCTTTTGAGAATTAAAATTTGGATATAAAATTGAAAAAAATTAATGGGAATCTCTCTGAGTCTTGAGACCTTTGGGCTGGTCGTGCTTGAAAGTGGAAATGACACAAATATCTATGCTATCATGACCGGCCAAAATCATTAGGAAACCGGTTATTATCTGTTCAAATTAAGTTAGGTACTAATTAATTAAAAAGTATGTAATCTAGGTACTGAATAAATTGATTGCAAACTTTAGGTACCAAATTGGCAAAATAAGTATAATTGAGGTACCAAAATATCAATATCCCTTTATTTTAACCATGCAACTTTTACATTAATAACATGACTAAAATAATTTATAAATTTGTGGCATGTATTAAGAAAATTAACATAAATAAAAAAAATTATTAGTGTTTCTGATTTTTAAAAGAAAAAAAAAAATGTGTCAATCATATTTTTCTTCTAACAATGCAACTAAATATAGCGGTTCCAGCTCTGAATGTGTCAATCAACTTTAAGTTCCAACATTAGCCATTACACATTTGAATATTTTGCTACCAAATTTATAATTAATTTAGTAACTGATCCAAAAATTAAATTATAAAAATCTATATATTAAGGTGCAACGGTTTAGCAGATTAGTGAGAAATTAATTAAAAAAATATGTAACTCCTTTTGGAGGGAAATGAAAATAGGTTTTATTAAATGTTTTATTAAATGCATTAGCTAGTAATTATATATATATATATATATATATATAGAGAGAAAGGATCATATGAGAATGACTCTTAATGCGAGAAATGAGAATGAGTCTAGACCATTGGATCCAACACATCAATGATCATGATAAAGTCAAAATTTAATAAGTCACAGTCAACCATGGATGGCATTCTTGTAAATAATTATACACTACATGGTCAATTATACATATTATACCACTAAATGGGGATATAAATGACATAACATATTTATAGTGGACCCCACCACTAACATCAATAATCTACCCACCCTCTTTCACACACAAACACACACAACACACACCTACACGCAGAAAAACACACCGACGCACACATAGTAAACACACACAAACACACACAAGCTCGGCAGAACCACCGGCAGACCTCAGCCGCGCCGCCGCCGCTGCCTCCTCCTCCGCAAGCCTCTCCGGTCACATCCCGCCGAAACCAGCCTGCCTCAGTCGATTTGGAGAATTCTCCGATTTCCGGCGTGGCCGACCTCTACCGGCCTTGAGTGGTCGTCCTCTCCCGGTGGCCGTTTATCGTTGCCCCGCCGTCTCGTCGCGTTGCCACCGCCATGGTTTCGGTTCCCCGCACAAAGGCGACAGCCTGTGGATATTAAATGGCCGAAC